GGAGCCGCAGCCCGAGCGGGTAAGGCGGCAGCGTTACCTCCCGCCCGCCTCCCCCCGAGCCTGGGCAGGGCTGGGAGGGTGCAGGGGTGGCACCCCGCCTCCCCCCGAGCCTGGGCATGGCTGGGGGGGTGCAGGGGTGGCACCGGAGCCCGAGCGTGGCAGCAGTACCCGAGTGCAGCCTGCTCTTCCTCCCCATCCTCCCGGTGAAGGATTTCTCCTTGCTAGGTATCACCTTGCTGTGGTGCAGCCTGTCTTCATGAGGCAGGGAGAAGAGCAGCCGTGTCCCCTGCGTCCCTGCTCTCCAGCCTTGCTGTCACCCCTGGGTCTGCTTCCCAGCTCTATCTGCCTGGCCTGTAAGGCCTGCAGGAGTGGTCTCTGCTTTCTCACACCAGGCCTGCATGCCCAGCTGCAGGGTACAGGCCTGTGGGGCTTGGCTTTCTCAGCTGGATTGCTCCATGCTGAGCTGGGCACGCTGAGCACACCAGGAGTTCAAATCCAGCCTGGGTTTCCATAGCTAGGAACTATGCCTGTGGTTTCCAAGGAGTCATAGAAATAGTCAACACGTCTGCTTAAAGTTTGTGTTTTCTTATAGTCTGGAGCATGTGAGGGTTTGCTGCAAGTTTCCCATGGGGTTTTTTCTCCTTGTGATCTGTCTCTGTTGCTAGGATGAGACTGGTGCATACTTAATAGACCGGGACCCCACTTACTTTGGACCCATCCTGAATTTCCTCCGTCATGGGAAGCTGGTCTTGAATAAAGATATGGCTGAAGAGGGTGAGTTTTGGAGCACAGAAACTTCTCACTTAACATCACTGCTGTAGCCATGACACAGCAGGACTTGCTGTTGACCATGTCTCTCCTTCTGGAGGTTGATTTGATGGGATTTAGAGGGCTGTCCCTCCAGCTCTCGGGAAGCAAACTGATGTTTCCTTTACTAAAGCGGTTTGGGGCAGGTGAAGAAGGCATCTTACAGGTGTTGTGGCCTCACAACTTTTTGTTCAGCAGAGATGTCACTGAGATAGAAGTAGGCAAGATCTCTCAGCCTCAATAAACAATTTTCCACTTGTTCCTGATCCACTTTTAACCAGAGCCTGTGACGGAGTTTTCTGTTAATGACTGTTTCTAATTAGGATTGAAAACCCAGAAGACCAAACAAAACCAAGTTTCTCTCTTCTACTGACTATAATAAAGACTGTCACTAATCAGTGATGTGCAGCATATGCTACTAGTGCTCTGCTGGGTTGTGGACAGCAGCAATTCCAGTGGAGCAAGCCAGACAAACCAGTCCCTCATTTGAGGTTGACAGGGGGTTCAGTAGGATAGCTCAGTAACATCACAGTGTTACCAGCCAGCAGTCCCCAATGTCTCGTTATTTTTTGGATGCTAGAGTCTCATAAGGAGCCAATTCCAAAGACAGGCTGTGCTCTCCAGCCCTTGCCAAGTTCAGTTTCTGCACTCTCATTACTCTTCTTGCCTCTCTCTCTTACATATTTTTACCTAATGCAAGGAAAGTTTTCTTCAGGATAATCTTATGAGTTATAATTACAAAAAAAAATAAGCAATGGTACAGAATTGTAGTAAACCCAACTCTAGGGTTTGTTGTACTTGACATTTCTTGTCATCCTGAGGTCAGACAGAGTTTATCCACAGGTTTCAAATCTGAAGCATAAACAGGAGCTTCATAGCTTAACATTACCTTTTATTCCTGCT